TTATAAATCTACTATTATTAATCAATAATACACTAAAAAAAATAACGAAATTTATATTTTAAATAAAATTTAAATTTATAACATTTATGTATAATATAAAAAATCTTAACTAATATAATTATATTTTAAAAATATAATAAAATCATCGAGATTATAAGAATTTTAATTTTTACAGTCTCGTTAACACATTAATAAATTAAATCGTCAATTCTATTAGACTAAATATTATAAGTTGAATATTATTAATCTATAACACCCAAATAAAATAATAAATTAAAGTTCTCTGCAAAATTTAAATTTGTAACATTCGAATATAATAAAAGAATTTTAACTAACAGAACCATGTTCGTATTATCGATTCTAAAATATTGATTATTTAAAATTAGTATTCTTTTTTTTTTTTAAATTATTAAATCTAAATATTTTTTTTTTATTTTTTGAGTGCAAATTTACTTTTTAATTTATAATAAAAATTTTTAATTCCAACATCCTTAGCTTGGATTCTCTAGTTGTGTCCTCCAAGCCAAGTCATTTTTAGTGTTATCTTGTTTTATTAGTGCAAGTTTTGCCTTCTCTTTTCTTTCTTCATCATTCTTGGTTCCTATTTTTGAGTATGCATGTTGGTTGTTCAACAAATTATATGTATTTTACAAGGAAAAAAAATACCCAAATTAAATATATAAATACTTTTAAGTATTATAAAGTTTAAGTTCAACTTTAAATTTTTTAAAACTTAAACTTAATTTTTTAAAGAGGAATATATAAATTCAAAATCAATTGAAGAAAAATTTAAGAAAAAATCATAGTTTAAATGACGTTAAATTTTTGTTCAATTAAAATATGATAAGATTTTGTTGCATTCGAGTTTAATTCTAATTTATTTTTTTTTTTGATATGAAAAACCAGTTAAAATGGATAATAAAAACAATCATACATAAATATTACATAATTTGGATCAGAAAACACTAAATATATCTTCATAAAAAATGCTCAAAAGCCCAAGAGGGGGTTATAGTAAGGAGTGACCCTCAATGGACTCATCATAAAACAGGTTCACCACGAAATCAGTGCTTATGTTACTTTACCGTTATGTATGTTGTACCTTAATAATTCAGTTTTTCGTAAGTTAAATTCTGATTGCAAGCAAAAGATTAGAACTTGTATTTGTGGTAACCGTTTCGCTATTGATTATCTTGTTCAAAAGTTAAACAACGATGACACTATTTATATTTAGGATAATATAACGCGATCTGAGGTTTCAAGTATGCTTAAGTTACTCAAAAGCGCCCAAAAGCTCTGCTTGAAGAATCGAGCAAGACTCAATTTGAATTTGACTAAATTTGAATTAATTTTTGGTCGAATCAAATTTAAATATTTTATGAATATTTCGTTTAATGAAATCTTATCATAAATATCAAATTATAATATTAGAATTAAAATGACAAAGATTTAATCTCATTTATTATTAAATTAAATCGTAAATTTTATTTTTAAATTATCAAGTTAGTTAAATGATTAGTATTTAAATTTTAAATTGTAATCATACGAATAGTAATTAGTATTTATTAATGATATAAGAAAATAATATTATTATTAGTTCTCATAATGAAACGTTACTTTAAAAAGTATTAAATAGTTTTAATAAATTAATTATTAATTATGAAAAGTATCTTTATTCTCTTTTCTTGCAGCCCAAGTTTCATCCGCTTATTTCCCACTGCCGGACGAACACGTGGATATAACTGGCGCGTTCGATGGACGCAAACTATTGGCTGACAGATTGATAAACATAACGACGCCGTTTTAAATCTAGTCAACTTCATCTGGACTTGAGAGCCGTGCTGAGGGATCAGTTGTATCGATCGAGAGAAAGAAGGAAAGATACAAATGGTGGACGCTTGCATGAGGGCCGTTATTGAAGCCATACACTCATCCCCTACGCAAGTTGTTGTTTACATCTGCGGCGGTGCCTCGTTGGTCTTTTCTCTCTCTCTCTCTCTCTCTCTCTCTCTCTCTCTCTCTTTATAGATATACTATGTATAAACGTATGTACGATATGATTATATATTTGTACATAGTCAATCTCTATACTCGCCGTATGTTCGTCACCAATTACTAATTCATCGTGCACTGAAATCTAAGCAGGCTTTAGGATGGTTAATGTCAGTTCCGGGAGCTTCGAGTACAGTCCTCGAAGCTGTGGTGCCTTACTCTAGACAGTCTCTGGTTCAATTACTTGGCAAGGTTTTCTTGATTAACCCAATTGTTCTGCTTAATCATCATCATTTAGGAATAAAACTTGAATTGCGTATTGTTATCAAAGGAATTCGTGAATTCTTTTGTAATTTTGTTGTTTACAGGTTCCTAGTCGGTATTGTTCTCAGCAAATAGCTGAGGAAATGGCTTTGTTAGCTTATAATCGTGCTCTTAAGCTTTCTAGTCCAGGTTAGTTTCAAGTTCATGCTAATTCTTTTTAGGAATACGTAGAGATTAGCAGCGACATATAACTTCTGATTTTCTTCTTTTGGTTGTTGTTAATAATATTAGGTTTTCACAATGGTCAATGATAGGAATTGCACTAACATATAAGTATCAATTAGTGGAAAATGTTGCAACTATGTGGTTCCATTGGATAAAAAAATAAGCTGCATGCAGATTGCAAATAGGATTTACTGGACTTTGGTGAACTAAAAGGAATAGTCTGCCTTGGTGTATATTTGGTTGTGTTTGTCAATGCGGAGCAACTACTTTTTTCTTGAGACAATTGGTACTTTAATTTTGGAACTTAACTTTCATGATATGTGCACGCATTAATGTTAATTGCTATGCTCCAGATTCTGAGCTATTAGTTAATTACTGCTAATCAGTTTGTAATATTGCCCTTGAATTGATTATTTTAGTTCGAACATGATTAACTGGGAGGAGACTGTGACTAATACCAGAAAAAAAGGTCTCAGACATTAAAAACTGACATAATATATGCCTGATTTGAATGGTTAATTGTGTAACTTCTGGACACTCTGCTCCAAAGGGCAGACCTATGGGGTTCCATATATAAATAATAATATGATCTTGAATCATGCTTTGGATAGGTTCCCCAGTTCTTGGTGTGGGTTTTACTGGTTCTTTGGCTACCATGCGCCCAAAACTTGGGGACCACAGGTATTTCAATGGAATTCATTTTTACAAGAAAAAATCCTTATCACACATATTCTTTTCATTATTGTTTCGATTTGATTCAAATGATTGCTTTCTAACATGATATTGTTGTTATACGTTTGTGGTATTTTCTATTAGAACATGTCAGTAGTAATTCCTTTTGCAGTTCATGTTTTCTCCTTCCTCTGTTCAATGACTCACAACTTGCAGTTCCGTCTTCCTCAATAAATGTTTTTGTATGAAAGAAAAAGTCGAATTAATATAGTTGATATCTCACGTTGATCAACCTCAATAGAAATGTTGGGGCCTCCATCTTTGCCTAAACTCTTCACAATCATGAACAGGTTTTACTTATCAACAAGAACTTCTGACAGACATTGGGTGTCAACAGTTACCTTATCGAAGGTAATCTTGCAATTCTTTCACCAATTTGTTTTCCCAGAGTCGAGGGTGGGATGGGAAGTGTTATTTCTTAAGTTTTGTACTATGTATATCATAATCTTATGCCAAATCAATTTAGGGTTTGCGAAGTCGAGAGGAAGAAGAAAAAGTTTCAAGTCGCATTTTAATCAAGGTGCGTGAGGAACCTAATGAGTAATGACATGATGAAGATTATCCATTTCCACTTCTTTTCAAAAAAAATAAGAAATGTAAGGTCATGTAATTTGTTTGGTAATCAATTCTTTTTAGAACAACTTTTCTGTAGAAATTTTTAAATAATTTTGAAGTCTTAATGTACAAGTAACTAGAGTTGGATTGCTGCAAACTGGAAAGTGCTTGTCTTAGTTTCTTATATTCAATGAATCTTTCAGCATTTGACATTCTTATTGCAATCTCGCGTATTAACTTCTTCGAGGTTGCTGTTGTTTTAACTCCAATGTTATTTAATTGCATATTCATCTTTTGGTTATAGGCAGTTGCGAATGCCTGCAAAGTTCCAGGAACCTTTGTTTCTGGGTTGACTGAATCTGAAGTGCCAGATGAATATGAAACACAATCTCTGAAGAGCAAGAATTAGAACAACTTTAAATGGGCAAATATGCTATAAGGTTTATCCATTTTCAGGTGTAAAGTGGTTTGACGTTTAGATTGCATCGGCCCCAATTACAATTGAAACTAACTCTATTTTCTATCTGTTTCCATTAGTCATAAACTGTGAACTTTGTTGCAGAGACATGTATGTTAGACGAAGATAGGAAGATAGTTCTGTCTGGTTCTTTTAATCCATTACATGATGGTCATCTCAAGCTCATGGAAGTTGCCAAAAGGTACATGCATTTCCCTCAGGGAAGTTACTAAATGTGCATGCATATCCTTTTTCAGAAACTATAAGTTTGTATATTTAAATGACCTAGATGCAACCATAGATCATCTACAGTTCCAATGCTAAATATTTTAACTCTGTAAACCTTTTAGTTGTTCGACTTCAACCTTCTGTTAAAGAGGTTGGTTGAACTAATTAAAGTTTCCAAGCTGAAGTGATCATGATGCATTATTCAGGAAAACCTCTGGAATCTAGTTTGCTTCTGATGCATTTAATGTAATTGAAACTGGGAGGAATAGCCCTTAGGAATTTTGTTACTTGGGGAATAATTTTTAAACTTGCTTGAGAGAAGTGTAAGAATCCGACTTTTTATAAAAGTTTGGCGCCTGAACAGATTTGATATCTTCAGGGAAATCTCCCTGTAAAGCAAAGTCATAGTCGATGTCCACTAACTGGAAGATTTTCTCCTTTTATGAAAAGGATTTGTATTTAGTTTATTGTTCAAACTCTCTATCATCTTCTTCAATTTATATTTAACTGTTATAAAATAAGTATCATGAATAAAATTCAAAGAAAACAGAAAATTTAACTAAAAATTTTCATGCAGCATATGTGGAAATGGATGTGAATGTTTAGAAATATCAGCAGTTAATGCAGACAAGCCTCCATTGTCAATTCCATATATCAAAGATCGTGTCAAGCAATTTGAAAAAGTTGGTAGGGACTGTCTGTCTTTTGTTTTGATATTTTGTCTCTTGTTTTTGTTCTGGACGTTTATATGTTAGTTTTTCAAAATAAAATGTGCCGTTAATGCTTAGCAAACTTTCTAGTGGAAATCGTCATCGACTTGATATGATGGTGTCCTCATGTAATTTAAAATATATGCTTTGTTTGCATATGTGGGATTCTAGCAACTCTTCTGCAGCAAAAGATATACGCAAGTGATTATTTGATGACAATGCCTGCTGACATTTAATTGTCTAAATAGTCATTAGTTTTACCTGAGAACCCTGTTTAAAAAATGTAAATTTCTCTTATGCTGAATATGTTGCATGACTTTTTATCTTTGAATTATTGACTGGCAGGAAAGACGGTAATAATTTCCAATCAGCCTTATTTTTACAAGAAAGCTGAACTTTTTCCAGGCAGTGCTTTTGTTATTGGTGCAGATACTGCGGCAAGGCTTATTGATGTATGGAACTTTATTGTCCCAAATGTATCTTTCTTTTTATTCATTCCAATAAATAATGTCTTATTCTAGTGGGTATTAGACCATCATTGGTATACCGGATCTGGTTACGGTTAGGTAAGAGGGTCTTACTAAATTCCATCCAATATTTTGTAAAGAGGGAGGATAGATAGGATTGGGAAAGAAGTGTTCAGCACAGTCATTAAACCATCCTCGTTTTTTGCTTCCATGTTTGGTCCTAGTAATTAAAATATTTACAGAATATGATATATAAAATTTAAATTCCACCGTCTATAAAATTTAAATCCCACCCTCTTTCATCTGCACGACCAATAGAACTACTGCTGACCATCCATAGACCACTACAAAACCAATTGAAAATCCCGGAACAAGGGTCACGGCCAGTTCTGGCTATGGAGTGATGTAATGTAGCTAGATTTGGCTAGATGGAGAGAGCCTAGGTGGTTGCACGGGTGGCAGTCCACTTGGTTTGGAGAGCGAGCACCTGTCGACTGGCCACTGCTTGATAGAACACTGTGGCCTGTAGATGCCAGCTTCGTTGCAGAAATGATTGCCTGGGCCTT